GTCCATTGTTGCAGTCACTGTGCATTTTGAGTGCCTTCCCACTAGGGGGCTCATCTTCCAGCTCTATATCAGACAATGTCCAGTTGTGATCCATAGGATTTTCATTGGCTAGTTTTCAGAAGTAGATTGTCAGACCTTTCTTCCTAGTCTCTGTTGAAACCTGTCCACCATGGATGACCCTGCTGGTATTCGAAATACCAGTGGCATATCTTCCAGCATCATAGCAACATACAAGTCACCACAGTAGGACAAACTGACAGATGGGTGGTGGATGGTAGATATAGGAGGTACTATTACCACTCTGGCTGCCTTGCTCCTGAGTCTGCACCATTAACCACTTGGCTGATTTTCATGTTGTATCTGTGGCTGAGTGGAGGGGTAGTTAATTTGCTGGATCGCTCAGGCCAGAGTAGATGCGAGTTGGTTGGGATGGAATGACTGAATTAGATATGTGAACCATTTTCACTGTTGGAATTCTCCAGAACATTTTTCTGGCTCACACAAGCAGAGTTTGCTCATTTCTAGTTGTTTTCTTCCTCTTACCAAGCAGTGGTTTTATGTTGTCAGCATTGTAATGAAGTGTCCAGAGCGTTTATAGAATCTGGAAGCCATTTCCAAATCCAGAATGCTTCAGTTTACTGAATAACGTTTCTTTAATTACTGGCCAATGTAAGCTGTTTTCCAAAGAGTGGAACTGTTTACTGTCAGCTGTATGCCATAATAATGGACAAGAATAGAGTTGTATTGTACTGTATTGCATTACATTGCATCGCATTGTATTGCAATTTTTGGTAATTCAAGACCTCTGTCAGAGGAGAGCACATAGCTTCCCCTGACACTTCATACTTCAAACCGATGAATTACTTCTCAGTCTGGAAAGCGGCCAGATCTCTAAATTGACGTGTTCACTGAATAACAAATTTCATGTAAGAGAGTAATGCCAGGCAGAAGAGGATTTGATAAAAGGACATTTAAACTCTGTAAATGATATAAAATATTCTCCTTAAAAATGTTAATAAGTTGTTAAATGAAAGATTCTGCGGGAAAGGTTTTGTGCTCAATTCAGCTTCTACACATTTCATCCAATAGATTATTGTGGAAGTATATGAGCAGTAGGCTGGACGTTAGGTAGTTTCATGTGAAATATTTCTTGTGGCCAAGCCCTCTCATCTGAAATGTCATACAAACCTCCAGAGTGGCTCTGATTTCCAGGACTGTTGAGCCGCTCTATAATTCAGAAGCAAAGACAGTGTTTGGCACGTTCATGGCGTCCCTTTCTATGACTGGGTTTAGATCAAACGTGTATGTCTTTTTAATCTGTAATTCAAGACAGTGCAAATCCTTTTGGTGGAGTTTTAATGCATTTGTTCTGTTTGCAATGGTCAAGTGCATTCTTAGCACTCTTTACAGAGGTATACAGACAGCATCTGTCAAGTCAGCTCTGACGCCTGGGGGTGTTAGTTGCCTGCTCCTGCATCATCCGCATGATTGCCAGCATGTTTGAGTCCATCACTGTGGCCATTGTACCCATCAGTCTCACCAAGGGTCTTCTTGCCCTTGCTGGCCCTCCACTTCACCAAATGTGGTGTCCTCCGCCAGCGATTGATCCCTCCTGATGACTTGTCCACAGCAAGACAGTCAGACAATGTTCTGTTGTGATCTGTAAGGGTTTTATTGGCTAATTTTTGGAAGTAGATTGCCAGGCCTTTCTTCCTAGTCTGTCTTAGTCTAGACGTTGAAACCTGTTCATCATGGGTGACCCTGCCAGTGATTGAAATACTGGTGGCATAGCTTCCAGCATCACAGCAACACGCAAGCCACCACGGTACAACAAACTGACAGACGGGCAGTAGTAGCGCTCTAGAACTATTTAAAACCTTCCACAACACCTTAAAAAGGGCATAGGTTCTGTTTTAAGAAATAGCACATTCTTTATTTTTCCTTCTGAACTATGCTTCTCTTTAGAAACAAAACAAATTTCCCCAATTTTAAACAGATTTTCAGGTCTTTAGAGAGAAAAAAGCAACAATCTCTTTTTATTGTAAATGTTCAGGGATTTTATGAACACTAAAGCCATTTTAAGGAGCTCTGGTGGCACAGTGGTTAAGAGCTTGGCTGCTCACCAAAAGATCGGCAGTTCGAATCCACCAGCTGCTCCTTGGAAACCCTATGGGGCAGTTCTACTGTGTCCTGTAGGGGTCACTATGAGTTGGAATCGACTAGACAGCAACGAGCAGTAGTAGGTAGATGGCGCAGTGGTTAAAGTGAGCAGCTGCTAACCGAAAGGTCGGCAGTTTGACTCCACCAGCTACTTTGTGGGAGAAAGATGTGGCAGTCTGCTTCCACAAAGCTTACAGTACTGGAAACCCTATGGGCAAAGGCCTAACTAAGGTATGGCAGATAGGGCGCACGCCCTGGGCGCCGCTTGAGGAGGGGCACCAACAAGCAGTTTCTTCTTAGCCATCACAGTTTCCGTCACCAGCTGTGAGATCATTCTTCAATTTAAACTAATTCCCATAGGGGCTATTTTCCGTAAACAGGCCCCTGCCTATGGGGCAGTTCTTCTCTGTCCTATAGGGTCACTAAGAGTCTGAATAGACTCTACCGCAACGGGTTTGGTTAAAGCCATTTTTAAAATGTTATCTTTTGCAGGCCTTATCTAAATAAAAGGTTAGGACTACCCTTTTAAAATGATGAAAACGAAACATTTAATCTTCACTAGAGTTCTGTGTACTTCTTCCAGCTGTCATTGCTTATTTTTCCCAGTAAATGGTCATGTTCCTATGACTGGCTCATTTTATTTCAAACAAGTAGCCATTTCAGTACGTTCAGACTCTTTATTTAATAGACTAGGCTTCATGACTGAATGCAGAGATATAATTAGGAAGTTTATACTTTAACAGGAACTAGACTGTGGTGTCGTTGTCTGAAAGAGATTGCAAATATATAAACCACGAAAGCTTTGGAAAGGCCTGGAAGAGAAGTTTGGACCACATCAACTTTACGTATTTGAATCTGACACATACACATCCCAGTGTGTCATAGCTTCAGAGTGTCAGAGGAATCAGTTATAACCCATTAACATGCTCGACTGCTAACCAAAAAAGTTGAAGGTTTGAGTCCACCCAGAGGCTCCTCAGATTTACAGGTAGGCCTGGCGATCTACTTCGGAAAAATCAGCCATTGAAACCCCTATGGATATGGACCAACCATAACGGAAATAATGAGAATGCTCACGCATTGTGAAGAATGTAACCAATGTTACTGAACAATTTGTGTAGAAATTGTTGAATGAGAACTGCTATGTAAGACTTCACAAAAACACAAAATATTATTAAAAAAAGAGCCCCAATGGAGCACAGTTCTACTCTGACACATATAGGGTCGCCATGAGTCAGAGTCAGCTCCAGGCAACTGGTGCTGGTACTGGTCCTATATGCAAAGAGACTGTCCTTCTATATTGAGTAGTAAACAGAAATTATTAATAAATGTCTTCTGTCTTTGACAGAAAGTAGGCTCTCTTTCAGGGTCCACCCTGCTGGATGAAGCCTCAGCATAACCAGCGTCTGCTTTCATGATCCTCTGTCTCCATTCCGCGCCCCCCAACCCCCGCCTTCATCCTAAACTTCTCATTCTCTTATTCTGACTTGTAAATTAGCTGGGTTCCAGGGAGCTCTGAATGAACTTTCTGAGCTAATATTCAGTCACTGTCATTAGGTGCCTTCAATGGATCCCAACTCATAGCAGCCACATATGACTGAATAGAATTGCCCCATAGGGTTTCCTAGGCTGTAATCTTTATGGGAGCTGATCACCAGGTCTTTTTCCCACAGAGCCACTAGTGGATTTGAACTGCCAACTTTTCAGTTAGCAGCCGAGTGCTTAACCATTGCACCAACAGGGCTTTTATATTCAGTGGTACATGTAGATATTCCTAATCTCACCTCTTCTGGGCCACTCACTGTTTTTGAAAAAAAGGACTGCTCATCTCAGAGATGTCATATAAATGCTTGTGTGCATGCATATACAGTTACACACGCACACAAGCACCACGTGTGTGTGTGTGTGGTGTGTATGTGTGTGTGGTGCATGTATGTGGTATGAATCTGGTGGTGTGTGTGTAGTATGTGTGCATATGTGTGTGGTGTATGTGTGTGTGTGTGGTGTGTGGTGCATGTATGTGGTGTCCATGTGGTGGTGTTTGTGGTATGTGTGTGCATATGTGTGTGGTGTGTGTGTGCATGTGTGGTGTATGTATGGTGTATGTATGTGGTGGTGTGTCTATAGTGTGTGTATTTGGTGGTATGTGTGTAGTGGTATGTGTGATGTAGATGTAGTGTGTGTGGGGTATGTGTGGTGTATTGTGATGTGTGTGGTGTGTGCTGTGTGTGTTGTGTGTGGTATGTGTGTATGATGTGTGTGTGGTGTGTGTATATATGTGGTGTGTGTGTGGTGTGTGTATGTATGTGTGTGGTGTATATGTGATGTGTGTGTGGTATGTGTGCAGTGTATGTATGTGTGGTGTGTGTGTATGTGTGATAAGTGTGTGATGTGTTTGTGTGTGTGTAGTGGTGTGTGTGTGTGCGGTATGTGTATGTAGTGGTGTGTGTGTATGGTATGTGTATGTGTGGTGTGTGTGTGTGTGGTATGTGTGTGTGGTGTGTGTGTGTGTGGTATGTGTATGCAGTGGTGTGTGTGGTATGTGTATGTGTGGTGCATGTGGTGTGTGTGTGTGTGTAGTGTGTGTGCATGTGTGTTTCCTTTCTGCTTTTGCGGAGCCCCTTCAGTGCAGGGACTTAGTGGCAGATGTGTATGCAGTGATAAAGGGAACTCTTTCCCACATTTACTTCCAGAGAAATACTTTCCAAGGCCAACCACTAACAGCCAGGTCAGGTTATAAATGGGACTACAGCCTTATGATTGGTTGGTAATTCCAAGTGATGGGGGAACCCATCCATTTTTTATGACGATATAATTAACACGCTGTCTGTCTCCCACAGGTTCAACCTTTGGAAATGAAGACCAGCCGGCTCTGAAGGCAGCTTTGCCTTCCAAAGACACACCCAAGGGAGTCAGCCGGGCGGCACCCCCAGCGTCCTCCAGTGTGACCACACCCCGCAGGAGTTTACTTCCAGCACCCAAATCTACTTCCACACCCGCTGGTAAGACTTTCTGCCGTGGAGAAGCTAAGCAGTGGAGTGCCCTTTCTGCGTTAAATAGAAAGTATTTTGAAATCCCTGTATACATTAGTAATTTAAATGGGATGATAGATGAATTTTAAATGGCATTTAAAGTAAATAATAATAAGAATGCCAGTCTTTTCAAAGCACTTTTATATACAGTGAAACCTGCAAAAGCCGGAACTCGGCGAGACTGCCTTGTTTTTCCGTGTCTTGCAAGTTTTCCGCCTTTGACAGGGTGCAGTCTTAACACTTTTATGTCGCTCTCCATTAGTGGAAAATATTTGAGTTTTCCTTCTCTGACAGGTTTCCGCCTTACGCAGGTTCTGACTTTCTCAGGTTTTACTGTATTTGTTGTTGTATGTTGCCATCGGCTCTGACTCGTGGTGACCCCATGTAGGGCAGAATGAAACACTGCCTGGTCCTGTGCCATGTTCATGATTACCAGCAGGCTTCAGTCCACTGTTGCCTTCCAACCCAGGGGATTCATCTTCTAGCATTATATCAGACAATATTCTGTTATGATCCATAGGGTTTTCTTTGGCTAATTTTTGGAAGTAGATCTCCAAGCCTTTCTTCCTAGTCTGTCTTAATCGGGAAGCTCCACTGAAACCTGTCCTCCATGGCTGAGCCTGCTGGTATTTGAAATAACGGTAGCATAGCTTCCAGCATCACAGCAACATGCAGGCCACGGGAGTATGACAAACTGGTGGGTTTTCCTATACACATATGTTTAAATTCTCATAAATGCCTCTCATCCTTGACCCGCTAGTAACCCGCTGAATCACACAGTTTCCATTGCAGAAAACAAAATCAAGCGATTTTGAGCAGATTGACATTTAGCTCAGGGAGGCGGGGGCCTGCAGGATCCATGCTGCCAAACAGATGCCCCATACCCTACCTCTCCACACCCACAAAGCTGGTCACTAGACCCAGGAACTCAGCTAATGTGAAGGGGTGCCAAGTGGTTTATATCTGGAAAAGATTCCACTAAGTCAGAGAATAAATATATATGTGATTTTGTTAGATGTTGCCAAATTCCCCTTCATAGGAGTTGTAGCATTTTATTTGCTCACCGGAAATGTATGAGAATGCCTATTGCCCTGCACCCTTATAAATAAAGTGTGTTTTCGGAGTTTGCCAATGCAATAGATGAGGTACTGTAGTCGAGTGGATTCTGACTCATAGCAACCCTATAGGACAGAGTAGAACTGACCCATAGGGTTTCTAAGGCTGTAATCTTTATGGAAGCAGATTGCCTGGTCTTTCTCCTGTGGAGCTGCTGGGTAGGTTCAGTCCACCAACCTTTCAGTTAGCAACTGAGCACTTGACCACCAGGGCTCCTTTCCAAAAATAAACTGACAAAAATACAATACACAAAGTAACTATAGCACCATTGAAATAAAAAAAGACGGAGAAGAACTTAAATGTCCATTAGTAGGAGACTGGCAGAACAAACTGTGGTAGATCCATAGGATGGAATACTGTGCAGCTGTCACATGAATGGGGAAAATTAATGAATGTTGTGATCAAGGACCCAATAGTTGGATCTTGATCACAAGGAGGGAAAATATGGAACAGAACTTCAGATTCTTATTGGAAACCAGACTAACGGATCCATTCAAACTGGAGGAACCCCCAAATCTATTGCTTAGAAACAACTTTTAAGCCTTGAAACAAAACTATTCCATGAAGTCATCTTTAAACTAAACAACAATTTAGCTCATTTAATAAAGAATGCTCACCTTAATACTACTCAGCCAGTAGAGAAATGAAGTCTTAATACATGCTACAGTATGGATAGAGTTTGAAGACATTGTGCTGAGCTAAATAAGCCAATCACAAAAGGACAAATATTGTATGACCTCACTTAGGTAAAAAGACAAGAAAAGGCAAATGTATAGAGACCAAAGTTTATTAGTGGTTACCAGGGGTAGGAGGGAGGAGAAAGAGGGGGGTTAATGGTGATGGAAAAATCACATTGATTAAGGGTAGGGTTGCATAGCTGTTTATTATAATTGCTGTCAATCAGTTGTACACCTGTAAAAAGTTGAATTGGCAAAAGTTGTAAGATAGATATATTTACAACAATGACCAAAAAAAAAAAAAAAATAGCTGCTGAGCTGCTGAGGCTGCTTATGTACAAATACCTCATGGATTTGGTTCCTTGGTTTGAAGGTTTAGAGTCGTGGTTTCGTGGGACATCCCAGTAAATCGGCCCAATAATGTGTTTAATGCTTCTCTTTTACCTCCTAGTTAGTTTCATAGTGCCTGTGGTCTTAAAAGCCTGCAAGTGGCCATCTAAGGCACAGCAATTGGTCTCCACTCACCTGGAGCAATAGAGGAAGACGGAGAGTCAGGAATAGTAGGAGGATGTGGGACTAATTGCCTCCATGAACAAGTGCCTCCTTGCCACGAGACCACAAGAACTGGATGGTACTTGGCTACTATTACTGAACATTTTGATCAAAGATTCCATAGAAGAATCCTGATCAAAAGGGGGAAAATGCAGAACAAATTTCAACTTCTCATGGACTTTAGACTTTCTGGAGCCATGGAGGGTGGATGAACCCCTGAAACTATTGCCTTGAGATAATATTTATATCTTAAACCAAAAATATTCCCTGAAGTCTTCTTAAAACTGAACAATAGTTTAGCATAACTACTAAAAAAGCTCTGCCTTGAGCATTATGCTCTTTTAAGAACTATCTATATGGGATCAAATTGACAACAGCAACTTGAAAGATTAGACAGGAACCTTAGCGGGCAGTGAGTTTATGTTAATGAGGGAGGAACAGCTCAGAAAAGAAGGGTGAGAATGATTGCACAACCTGAAGAATGTAATCGATGTCACTAAATTGTACATGTAGAAACTGTTGAATTGGTGTATGTTTTGCTATGTATATTCTCAACAACAAAAACAAAATAAATAAAATCTAGAAAAAATAAAAGAATTTCTCCTTGAGCAATGAACTCTTTTAAAGAATTATCTACATGAAATTGAATGGACAAGAGTAACTCTAAAGCACAGACAAGAACTTTAAGGGGCAGAGAGTCTAAGTTAACGGTGGTGAAACATTACAGGCAGAGATAGGGAGAATGGTGACACAATAGGAAGTATGTAACCATTGTCAATGAACTGTAGTAAAAATTGCTGAATGGGTGTAAGTTTTGTTGTATATATTTTCATCAAAGTTTTAAAAACTAAAAGTATAAAAAAGAAAAGAATGGGGAAAGATTCCTACATATACTACTACTTGAAGAGATATTGTTAAGTGACAAATGAAAGATGGAGAAAAATACGTACAATAGGCTACCTTTCTAAGCAATGGGGAAATATATATATTTGCTTATATTAAGAAAAGCAACGAATTTTTTGAAAAATGGTTACCTACAGAGGGAAAGGAATAAACAGGATGGAAAGAATAGGAATAGAAGCTAGACTTTGAATACACCTTGTTTTGTAGATTTGACTTTGAAACTCTGTAGCAATTTTACACAATTATTAATTAAAATTATGTTTTAAACAGTACAGTTAAACAAATGAAAGTAACTATATCCTGTTGGTGGCATAATCACACAGAAGAACTATTCCAAGTGACTTTAAAAAAGAGTAATTTGATTGTATATCTCCTATAAAATATACCCTAAGTTTAAAATTGGGGGCAGTGGTGGTTCACAGGTAGAATTCTTGCCTTCCACTTGGGAGATGCAGGTTCAACTCCCAGCTAATGCATCTCATGTGCAGCCACCACCCATCTGTCATTGGGGGCTTGCCTGTTGCTATGATGCTGAACAGGTTTCAGGAGAGCTTCCAGACTAAGGTGGACTAGGAAGAAAGACCTGGCAAGTTACTTCTAAAAAATCAGCAATGAAAATCTATAAATCATAACAGTCTGATCCCACTGTGCATGGTGTCACTGTGAGCTGGGGGCTGACTCAATGGCAGCTGACAACAACAACAAATTTCGAAAAGAATTGCAACAAAAATCTTTTAACTGTCTTCAGTAACTGTATTATTGATGGTAATATTGGTAATGTTATTTTTCATTTGTTGTTATTCTGAGATTGTTTATTATGGGATAAAACATATAAGTAATTATTTTGGCACCATTGAGAAACTAGTTTTGGTGTAGTTGAAAGGAGATACATATTTAGGTTAGTTAGATTAAATTTAAAACCCAATAGTGGATTACCCTCTATTGTGATCCCTGTCAGAGCAGTCGGTGGTTGTAGCTGAGTACCCTTGAGTTTTGCTGGACTCAGTCTGGTGGAGGCTGGATAGTTGTGTTCCATTAGTCCTTTGGACTAATCTTTCCCTTATATCTTTGGTTTTCTTCATTCTCCGTTCCTCCAGACTGGGTGGGACTGGGGAGTATATTAGATGGCCGCTCACAAGCTTTTAAAACCCCAGACGCTACTCACCAAAGTAGGATGTAGAATATTTTCCTTATAAACTATGTTATGCCAGCTGAGCTAAATGTCCCCAAGAACATGGTTCCCAGCACTCAGCCCAGTAACCCAATCCTTATGGGAGTTTGGATGTGTCTATGAAGCTTCTGTGACTTTGCCTTGGCCAAGTTGTGCTGGCATCCCCAGTATTGTATACTGTCTTACTCTTCACCCAAGTTACCCTTTATCTATTTTCTAGTCAGTGTTTTTTCCTCTCCACCCCTCCCCTCCCTTGTAACCATCAAAGATTGTTTCTTTCTGTGTGGAAACCTTTTCATGAGTTTTTATAATAGTGGTCTCATACAGTATTTGTCCTTTCGTGACTGACTTATTTCACTCAGCATAGTGCCCTCCAGATTCATCCATGTTGTGAAATGTTTCGCAGATTGATCATTGTTCTTTATTGTTGCACAGTATTCCATTGTGTGTATGTACCATAGTTTGTTTATCCATTCATCTGTTGCTGGGCACTTAGATTGTTTCCATCTGTTTGCTATTGTGAATAATGCTGCAGTGAACATGGGTGTGCA